ACAGGAATGGATAATATTTTAGAGAGAACATTCTAATAATGCTAAAAACATTAGATGCAAATGATCTTGCACAATGCTACTGTATTACCATGGAAATGTCCATTAACATCGAGAAGTACTAAATATGAGTCATGAAAAATAAACATTGGTTAATTATCAATTAAAGTGGTATTTTAGGACACTTTCCACAAATTATGTTGTTTTAGAAGAAACTACATGTTACAAAGGTTTAAATTCCCTATATTATAAGACTAGATGACCCAAATGAAATAATTTTGTAATTTAGATTAGCATTTGTAATGAGTTGGTATTGAAAAACTTTTTTAAAATGTTAGAACACACTAAATCTACATTGGGAAATTATTCTAGTGTTATAAGCTGCAGGAAAATACTTACTGAGGCCAGTTTCATCATGGAATGCCGTATGTACAGAATATGATGAGAATTTAGCAGGTACAGCATATATACTGTTGAACATATAATATTAACTAGCTTCTTATAAGTTTAAACATACATAGGACTTTGATTCCGTGAAGCATATCAAAGAGGTGAATATTAGTTCTTATAGTGTTCATAAGTGAAACAGGATTTTTAAAACTGCGGGAAGATACACTAAATAGGAGAATGTGAAGTATTCTTGATATCTAATCTCCATTAAGTTCAGCTTGAAAAGAAAAAATTATAGGAGTTATAATATAAAAAGTAGTAATTATTCACAAAAGATTTAGCACTTTATAAAATGAGGCAAAGGATTAAATGATTTTTCCTAAAGTGTTTTTTTGGAGGAAATTTAAGTTTCAAGTAGCAAAATATATCTTTGGAAAAAGTGTGTGTGTGTGTGTGTGTGTGTGTGTGTGTGTGTGTGTGTGTGTGTGTAGTTCATTTTTTAAAATGATTTAGAACTATTATTAAATTTTTTTAAAAAAAGAGTCAATTAAAGCCAGACTTTCTGAAATTAAATTATTTGTGTTTCACCTTTTTAATTCATTCAATTTATATATCCTCATAATCTTCTTTGAAGATTAAATTTTTTCCAGAGAAAGATTGAAGTTTTTAATGCTCATATTTGACTTCAATAGTCATTAAATTTGCATTTCTTCCTAATCTTCTTTAAAGAAATTTGATTTTTTTAAAAATTAGAAATAAGGAAATTTTTAGAAACTAGTTATAAATATTAAATAAGATGTTCTTTTTCTCAGTGGTGTACAAATATTCTGTGTGTGTGTGTGTATTTGTACACACACACACCCCACATATATGTGTAATCAACTACAGTCTCAAAGAAAACACAAAAACTAATTGCATCTTCCCATGGATGAATTGGATATGAACAATCCTTTACATATGTATGTACACTTCACCTTTCCCAAACAGTATATGTTTTCTAAGGCTAATTGCTCTTCTTTTTTTAATGAGAAAACTACCAGTCAAGATCAATTCAAAATGAATCTGAATATATTCCCATAGAAGTCTGATTACTTTAATGTCATGTCAGTAAGAGTTACATCCATTCAGGAACTTGGAACAAACACACACTGAACAATGTAAACACCTTTCAGGAAGAACAGAGAAAGGAAAAGAAGAATTATGGACAAGCAAGCTACAAAAAATAATCTCATTGCTAAACGGGTAGTTATTAACTTTTAGAAAATGAGATTCAATTCAATTGAATAGTTCAATAATTCAATTCCACCATAATTCAGCAACACACATTATAGTAATAGGTGAAAATAAACTGAGCAATGTAATGGTCAATGGAATGAAGAACATGCTGTTATCTCTCTTTGCAGTACTGCATAATAAAGAAGAAAGGGAGAACAAGAATCACTGCAGTGATTCATATAATCATAATGCTGCCAATGAGTTGGATGGACATGGTTAAAATAAAATTACAGATGGAACACACAGATTAATGACTAAATTTCCAGGACAACAAATAGCTGAGTAGCCTGGAGACACAGAGCTCACAATAAAACTTTTTGTCCATATGCATAAAATACAATGGACTAGTTTCATTTATGGAGGGAAAGATGAGGTTAATTTGGAATCAAAATTCAGCACAACAAATGATCTGTAAGAAAGTGACTTAGAAATTATAAAAAGGCAAGGAAATTGCACAAGATCTAAATCATTCCAATTTCATGTGATATTTTAGTTGCTATTGACAATTAAAGTAAACATTTGTGCCAAGTGGTAACATTCTTGCTCCCCTCAGTCTATCCATAAGAAGAAGAAAAAAAAAGATTTTGGAAAGACAGCAGGAGACAAAATAGAAATGCTATTAAGCAACCACAGAGAATCTAAGAATTTTAAGATTTAGATGGAAATGTAGACGTCACATAAAACCACTTCCCACAAAATTCCAGGAATTCACATTCTTTTAGAAGAATACCCCTAAAAGATATTCATCCAACCAATCTGAAACTACCTACTGTTGAAGAGCTAACTAACTTACATCAAGCAGGGCACTCCATTTCAGAAACTCTATTTAGTCCTTCACTGTATTGGGGGGGGAGGAATCTGCTTATAACTTTAATCCACTGGTTCTATCTTGCGTTTAGAAATCACATGACAGAACTCTAACTTCCTTTGCTTAAAAAGTCTTCCTAGTACAGTCCCCAGTTCCTCCAAATGATCTTCATCTGGCACTTTTCTAGACCTTTCACCATCCTGGTCAATCTCCTCTAGACAGGAACCAATTTGTCATGGTCTTGTCCCATATGGTTAATCCATAATAGGACAATTCCTTCCCTCATTCTGGACAGTACAGTTTTAATAACATAAACCTCAGATTAAAAGGAAATAGAGTGTGATGTAGTAGACAGAGGGTTGGCCTTGGGTTCAAGTCCTAACTGACAAATACCAGCAGCATAAATCAAGGACAAGTTATTTATAACCCCAATGGTTCCAAGAAACTCTCCAAGACCATAAAAAAACACTACAGAATTGCTGATTTGCTTTGGTGGAGAAAGTTTTGACCATGAAAGTTCCTTACAATCATGAAATTATAAGTATTGCATTTGGTCTTCCAACACGACGTCCTAACTGCTCCTCAGCCCCTCTACTCCCTCACCAAAAAAATGAAAATGCATACATATATAGGCCTTCATTATCTCATACCTGGACTATTACAACAGCCTACTGGTCAGTCTCCCCGTCTCAAGTTTCTCCCTTCTCTGGTCCATACTCCACTCAGAGGTCAAAATGATCTTTTGTAAAGTGTAAGACTGACTACGTCACTCCTACTCCAATGGCTCCCTATTGCCTCTAGGATCAAATATAAAATCCTCTATTGTGAATAAAAGTGTGTTGGGATGGATTTCTACCTGAAGTAGAACATCACTTCTTAATAACTTAATAAATGATCGATTTTACATTCACTTTAAATAAAGACTTCAAGACCACAAAGTATTAAAATTATCAAATTTAATTTTCAGTTTTTCTTGCTGGGATATCTATATGTGAAATGAATTCTGCTCTGTGTATATGCACATTTTATATTCACGTCTTCTACTAAAGTCCTTCTACACTGATTCATAGAGGCACAGATATGATGCTGAGTTCTGGAAGGCCAAAACAGTCAAGCACAAGCTTTAGCAAGTCCAACTATGTTAGAAAAGTTTCAAGGTACAGGTTTGATGTGTTGTTCAGGGGGTCACCAAGAAATTGCCCACCATATGAAAAAATTTTTTTGGCAACAGAAACTCAGCCAACTACCTACTAAGGTATGAAACAAGCAACACTTGGATGAAGTCACTGATCCTTGAACTCACATGTACACACACACACACACACACACACACACACACACACACACACACACTCTCTCTCTCTCTCTGTCTCTCATATGACAGTGTGGCACACCAGAAATGAAGCTACACTAGGAAAAAAAAAAGTTTTAGGATGGATCTAAGCTCTGCCACTAGAGACTATGTTGTTTTAATAAGTCAATTCCCCTTTCTTGGCTTCCTTAGACCAGATAGTTTCTAAGGTCACCACCTTAAGGTCTAGCTCAAATTATATGACATTATATATGTGTATAAAACTGATACTGAATCATGATGATGCTTCTGAATTATGATGCTGACAGATATGAATAAGTATAATTTCAAAAACATAAGACATAAGGAAAGTGATGTTAATGTGACTAAAAGAATTTCAAAAACTAAGTTTTAAAAACAGAGATTTTAAAAAATAGTCTGGAAGCAAAATAAAAATAATACCAGACTTAAAAATCTATCATATCAGTATAATACAAACTATATTCTATCACATAAAAATTATAATTTATTCTTTCCCAACGTCAAGGCATATGGTCAAAAACTATAGCATTATGTTTTTACTAATTCATTCATAGACAGATAAATACCTAGCCAATGCTTGATCCTACTTACAGATACCAACACAAAATAAGTTTTTAAAGTCATTTATAATGATATGGAAGGTCCCAAAGTTGTACACTTTAACATAAATTTTAAAAGATACAACCAAGCATGAACTCCCAATTCTCTCATAACAAAACCTAGTCAGAATATTTAACTGCAATTTTTATGGCAACAACTAATTTGGAAACTGAAACAGAAAAATACAATATCTTTAATTTCACATAAAAATATTCCTAATTTGATATCAAAGTGTCTCAATATGGAAGTCTTGATCTGTGTAACAGTTATTCCCAATAAAAATAAACAAGATATCAAAAAGTAGGTCATTTGTTTGTAGAACTTTTCTGTCCTGATCAATATGTTAGCACTCTTGACCAACAGGACAAAAAACTCAAAGCAAATGAAAGGGCAAGAAAACCTTGTTTTAGATTAGCTGGTAGAGGAACAAATTATTTTAAATAACCATATTTTATTAAATCTGTTTTCTCAAAAATGCTTAACCAAGGAAACCCAATAACAACACCAAAAAGGATCTTTATTTAGCTCTAATTAATACCATTAGGATATCTGATAGAACACTTTAAAGCAGTTAAATGCAGGGAAATGGCAACTCACCTAATATGTAGATAACCTTTTGGGCGCTTCGTTGGCCAAGGGAATTTGTAACCTTACAGACATAAACACCGGAATAATTGTAAGTCAGTGGATTGATAAAATACAGAGTATTCTCTGAAGTCTCTAAACCGTCAGGCCACTGTCCATCCAACCTGAAAGATGTTCAGAGATGTTAAAGACATTTCTAGAATACATTAATACTCATTTATTATGATCCAAAACATTGTTATTATTTGAAAAGGTATAACATATAGAAAGCTGGCCTAAGAGTAAAGAGTACTTGGGTTCAAGTCTCTACCCTGATGCACACTGGTGGTGTAAGCCTAGGCAAGTCACTTTACCTCTGGTAACTCAAAAAAAACTAAGACATTGATTATTGTCAAACTGTAGTAGTAGAGGAAGTTTTTTTTCCCCTAGAAGTTCCTATACCAATGAAATCAGATATCAGATCCAAAACATTTCAAAGTAACATTAGCAAAGGAAATTTTATTGCTTAAATACTGTTATTTGCAAAATTTGTAAAATATTTGTAAAATATCTCCCCAACCTCTCTTAATTCCAGTTCTTTCCCTCTGTTAATCATGTCTTATTTATCCTATATAAAACTTGCTTTGTATGTATTTTTTTTGCATGTTGTCTCCCCCCATTAAATTGTAAGTTCCTTAAGGGCAAAACCTTTGTCTTTGGCCACTTTTTGTACACCCAGCACTTATCAGAGTCCCTGGCACATGGTAATTTCAAATGTGAAGGAAAATCATCCTAACCAAACAGCAGTTTTATAACTCAGTAGTCATATTACTTGAATCACAAAGACTATTAATGTTTTTTAAGAGTTAAGTCAAAAAATCAGAAACAGAGGGAAAAAAGTTTTTGAAGATTATTTCCACTTTTATTCTTTACTTAGTAGTTATTTAATAGTTGCTGAATTGAGGTAAACCACATATTTTTAAAATGTCAATAAAATTAGAAAATGCCTTGGATGTAGGATCATTCAAAGGAAATCAACTCAACGAACAGTACCTTCTATAATGTGGAAGGCACTGTGCTACGAATAGAAAATAGAAAACCCAAAACAAAAAAGGTTTGGCTTTCCAGTAGTTTCTATTGTCCCTACAAAACTGTAATAAGTACCTAGATACAGAAATACAAGGTAATCTGAGGGTGAAGAGAACAGTAACATTTTTGTAGGTAAATCAGGGAAGGCTTTAAAGAGGAGATAGCCTACTCAGACCCTAAGAGGGTAGATAAGGACGCTAAGGGGAGAATGGAGGGAAGGAAGGAGTACACTGAAGTCAGAGGATAAAGAAGGCAGGAGACAGAATGCTGGCAGCACAAGAAGGATAAAGTAAAACTAGAGAGGAAGCTCATAACCAGACCGTGATGGCCTAAAATGTGCTCAAGACTTTACATTTTTTCTTTATTGATATCAGGAGCCACTGACAGCTTTTCAGCAAGAAAAGAACACAGTAAGACACGTGCCTAAGAAACATTAATGTCAATAGCTATGAGACCAATGATGAAGGTCTTACAGATGAATCAAGAATGTTTCAGTTCAGGTGAGAAGTGAAGAAAGCCTGGACTGTCCTTCCAACTGTCCCTGTACTTCATTCCCTCCTGAATCTAGAATCTTTCCTTATCATATAAGGACTCCACCCATTCATGATTTTCCAGACTATCATACCTGTCCTAATCTCATTTTATCCCTTCAAAACCTTGACTCTATAGTTATCCAATTCAACTTTCCAGTATTCTCTACCTTTAAATCCCTTGAGAGGCAGGATAAGAATAGAGAAGCCAAGAACAACTGGGTTCAAATCCAGCCTCAGGCACTTACTAGCTGTGGGACCCTGGGCAAGTCATTCACCCTTTCTGTGCTTCAGTCCTCTCATCTGTAAAACACATCTGATGGTCGTTAATGTCCTTTTCTAGTTCCAAAACTGTGATTTTATTAACCTGCTGCAGCCCTGCCCTTCCTACCTTCCCCATATTTACTCATTTCCAAACTCTAACAATAGATTATTCCCACCATTCTGGCTTTCTCCACTCCTACTGTAATGCCACTTAATCCCACTGAAGGAAGTCACAACCAGGCAGCCTGGGTCTGCTACAAATCTGTTCTCTATTCTCTAGTGAGCCTGGGCAAGCCAACCTTGTGTCTCTTTTCTGAATGACTCTATCACTGACTAATTCCCATCAGCATCAGCAGGGTACAATGAAGAGATGGATTTAGTCTCAAAAGCCTAAACTCAAATCCTGGTTCTGTGGCTTAATAGTCCTGTGACCATAGGAGCCACTTAATCCAAGTCTCAGTTCTTCACCTGTGAAACAAGAAAGGAGAAAAAGATGGCACCTTCTAGATGGCACCATTGGATGGAGGACTTTAAGGTACCTCCCAGCTCTAAATCTAAGATCTTATTATCTGCTGCAAATCTCCTTAAGCTATCAACTTTACTCTCTTTCCTCTTACATATCTGCTTATTGAAAAAAAAAAAGTCACTCATCAGGAGCAATCTTTTTCTCTAATTACCATCTCTAACTTATTCAACATCATCCATCCATTCTCTCCCCTTTGCCCTAATCTCGGATAAAGGACATTTCTTGTCATGTCCTATGGTGTCTTCTTGCAGCTTGCCCCTTAGAGTACTTCTTTACCTTTCTATATCAGACTGCGTAGTCTATATCCTTCCCAAGAATCAAAGGTCCAATTCTAATACTCTCACCTATAATGACTGATGGAACTTAGAGATATCAATTACAGAAATGAAAAGTGAAAGATATGAAGTTTTGCCATCTGTACTTTTCAAAATATATTTTACAGAAATTTTCCTCCTTTAAAGTTCAAAATACTGTTACCTGCTCCATTTAGACTGTGAAGGTGGTGGATTTGCATCTGCATTACACTTCAGATTAACATTCATTCTTCCAACAAACCAATTCCCATCATACCCTGTGACTGAAACTTCAGGGGCATCTATAAAACAAACATATTACCAATGAAGAACACAATATGTCATCTGAAATGAGTTTACAATACAAATATACTTAAGACATGTCCATAAATGAAAGATTTGTCTTATTTATTTGGACATATAAGTATAACTAATATTCTAATTTTATGAATAACAGTGAAATGAGTTCATCTGAAAAATAATTCAAGAACCAAACTGTCACCAAAAGCAAAACAAAAGATCCAAGAGTTCAAAATAATACAGTAGATGGTGGTGCTAATAGTACTACTAATACCATGTGACCATTTACTTAGTGCTTTAAAGTTTACAACGTAATTTACACCTATTAAATAATTTGATTCTCAGAAGTACTGCTGGTATTATTATTTTCATTTTTCAGTTAATAAATAACTCAGGAGCATTAAAACCTGATTTAGAGTCACCCTACTAGCAAGTTATCATCAGAGGTAGGAATGAACCTTTATCTTCCTTATTACTCAGCATTACAAGCTAAGAGCCTTAGGAGGCACATAAAAATAACAAAAAACTTTTCCAGAAAGTATAGTAACTAAAATACAAAAGAAACCAATTTTCAATGGCCTATTACAAAATTCTTTTGTGAAGATCTAGTTACTTTCCTTTTTTTCCAAAGCCTAATAACCAGGATTTAAAGTAAGAAGGAAGAACGGTACACACACACACACACACACACACACACACACACACACACACACACACAATGTGGAACAGAGATAAAAATATTTAACACCTGGGTAATAAAGAAGACAAGATTCAAGATATTGTGGGTTTGGGGAACAATGTTAAAGGAGAACTGGCCTACTAAAAGCAATTACCTTTGGGGGGGGAGAACAACAATATAATCAAGGATTCAATAAGTTTGTCTCACAAAGTTATAGTTTTACATACTAAATGGAAATGAAAAATGGTAAAACTGCTCACCCACCCTGCAGAAGCAGTAAGAATAAAGGCACATTGTTAAACTCAAAGTTGGTTAAAAATAATGATGACATTTATAATAATGATGTCCCAAGTTTCACAGATGAAAGAAATAAAAGATGCCAAATGGAAGATTAAATCAGAAAATTACAATACTTAGTTTTTTTAAAAAGCACTGTTGTATCATTAAAGTGCTCTCATTAAAAGAGTGTCATGTTAAATGTCTACATTTTTGTATGAATTGAGACATCTTCCCCCAAACTATGTTTAAAAAAAAAAAAAGAAAAAACCATACAGTTCAGGGGCAGCTAGGTGGTACAGTGGATAAAGCTCTGATCTTGGAGTCAGGAGTACCTGAGTTCAAATCCTGGCCTCAGACACTTGACACTCACTAGCTGTGTGACTCTGGGCAAGTCAGTTAACCCTACTGCCTCACCAAAAAACAAAACAAAACAAAACAAAACAAACAAAAAAAACACAAACCAATTCAGTGCAGGAGGGAGGGGGAATATACCACCACCACCACCACCACCACCCCAACCCCAAAGCAACATAACCTGCAATTAGGGAATCCAATCATTATAAAAAGCCAATTTTAATTATTTTAGGATTGAGTCAAAAAACTATAAAGAAAATGTAAGTGTAAGTTTATTACAAATACTACAAAAAAATTCTATTTAAGCTTACATACAGGAAGAAAAATAGAAGAAAAAATTCCATACTAAAAAGTATTTAAGGATGGGAGCTGAAATGTATGAGTTTAATAAAACGTTAAGAGGTCTTGAAGGCTATGCAGACGTGAAATAAGATTCAGTTATCTGTGTTCTCCCTGTTTCTCTCCTAGGAACACTTTCAGAATTGAAATTATTGGAGAGTTAAAGAAGAAAAGTCATAGAATGGATATTATACCTGAATACAGTGCTCATGTTTCACAGCAAGTAAGAAGACACACTCAGGAAGTGATCACTCTTAGTGGTCAGTCAATAAACACTTATTCAGCACCGACTATGTGTCAAGCACTGTGCTAAGCACTGGAGATTAAAAAAAAAAGAGGCAACAGGCAGCTCCTGCCACCAAGGAGCTTTTAATTTAACAAGGAAGATGACAAACAGAGAAGCTATATACAGGAGAAAGAGAAAATAACTAAAGGGATGGGGCACTAGAATTAAGAAGGGTTGGGAAACATTTCTGCAGAAGATGGGATTTCAGTTGGGATTTAAAGGAAGCCAGGAGGCAAAAATGAGGAGAGAATATTCTAGGCATGGGGGACAGCCAGGAAAAATATCCACAGCTGTGAGATGGAGTATCTTAATCTGAGGGGAAGGATAGAGGAAGGGAAGGGGTGGTTATGAAGGGCTTTGAACACCAAATAGGATTCTGTAATTAATGGTGAAGTTGTCAGCGAGCCAACAGAGTTTATTTTGGGAGAGGAGGGTGAATTCAGTTGATCCTAGACCACTTTAGCAGCTCAATGTAGGATGGCATGGAGTAAGGAGACCCTTAAGGCAGGCAGACCCACTAGCAGGTTACTGCAATATCATAAGCACGAGGTGAGGAGGCCTACACCACAGTAGTGGCAGTGTCAGAGGAGAGAAGGGGGCAAAGGTGAAATCATGAGGCCTTGGCAAAAGATTGGTTGGAGGAGGAGGAGGAGGCAGGGAGAGGAGAGATGGTGAGAAATCGAGGAGGACAGCTCCTAGTTTGTGAGCCTGAGGGACTGGGAAGATGGCAGTGACCTCGACAGTCACAGGGAAAGTAGGAGGGGGAAACGGTTAGGGAGAATGTTAACGATTCCTGCTCTGGACACACTGAGTTTAAAATGTGTATTGGACATTTAGCTGGAGATACTGAAAGGCAAATGGAGATATGAAACTGGAAGTCAGTGGAGAGATTGGTGAAGGACAGGTAGATCTGAGGATCATCAACACAGAGATGATAATTAGATCTATGGGAGTTGAGAGATCACAACATGAAGTAATATTAGAGGGAGAAGAGATTATCAAGTAATCAAGTTGCATGTCTAGGTGCAAATTTGGAACTGGCTATTAAGGATTTGAGAGACGTGAAAATAGGGCTGAATCTGACCACAGATGTTTGGGTGTCATATGAGAAAGGACAGAATAAAAGGTAGTTTGAAGGAGACAATTAAGAAGGAACTGTTTTTAAATTTTTTTATTTAATTAACTCTTATCATTCTGGAAAAAAAATCAGCTAAAATTTAAAAAACATTAGCCAAGATCAAAAAATCACAGATCCATAAATTTAAAGCTGGAAGAGACCCGTGACTATTTGGCTCAATCCCTTAATTGAAGCTCAAGGAGATTAAGGGACTGGGTCAAGGGCACAGATACAAGAAGTAGCAGAACCAAAATCTGAACTTAGGTCTAACTAACTCCTAATCTAAACTTCTCTTTACCATTCCTAGGATTTCTTAGATATAAACTTCAAACAATAAAATTACAATGCATAAGACATAATGTTTCCCAACTTATTTTTATAAATGTAATATGGATTAATTTTAGCAGAAGTAGAAAAAAAGGTAAGGTTTTATTTTCTTTAAAAAGCCCACTAAGTAAAAATTACACATATATTGTTTTATAATGTTAATGGGGGATGGGAGCAGGGAGAGGAACCTGTGTTACAGGTGTGAGAATTCCCTAACCTGATACATGCAATAGCCCATTCATATCTTAAAATTTCAGAGCACTGTCTGAGGCTCAGAGAGGTCAGTGACTTCCTTATGGTCCCAAAGCTAGTAAGTGACAAGGGCAGGATTTGAACTTGCCCGTGAACTTAATTTTATGACTTTCAAAAGCTTCACCTTCACAGTACTCCCTTTTTTAACCAATACCACCAGGTTAAAAGTATTCAAGCTTATAATTAACTAGGGGTCAGAGAGATCACCATCAAAACACATTTTCATGAAAACCGAATAAAGAAAATGAAAATTTAGTACCTTGAAAATCTGAACAAATACCTAAAGTGAGAATTTCAGAACTTGAGCAAAACTGAAGATTATTTAGTCCCACCCTCTTATTTTGTAGATGAATAAACTGACCCAGAGAGGTGTGAGGTTGGGTCCCTAAGACTGAAGAGCAAAGTCAATGGCAAACCTGCCAATAGGACTCTGTATCCTGACTCCCTACACTGTAGTGTTCTTTCCACATCACCATATTGTTCTCCAGCAGGCAAAGATTACTTTATTGTGAAATCCAAACCAAAATTTAAGACAAGTTCAAACAGTTTGGAAAAGATAAAAAAGGCATAAAGCAAGCACATAACATATCAAAAATCCCAACATTATGTTTATGCACACACACCCTCAAAACTTACTTCTGTTCATTGCCTACCCAGATTTTTTTGTTGTCACTGAGGGCAGGGGGAGGGTCTAGATACTACCATTTAACTCCTTACCTTCACCCAGATATTTACATCTCTTATCATCTAGATCACAAGTATAAGAATTAACACAGCCAACTTTTCATTTCAGTTAAGTACCACCAGAATAACTACCTTCAAAACAATAAAAAAAACAATTTTCTGGTGCTATACAATTTACTGTAGCTATGTCAGATAAGTATGAAGTGACAGATTGTTTACAGTGAAGTCTCATTAGAATACTATGCTACAAAGCAGAATTCCATAAAAAGGTGGTTTGGTTTGGTACCACATTTCAGGGGTCTGTTAGCACCATAAGGATGCAATTATAAAACTGTTTCTCATCACATGAACGTACTGGAATATACTGAAGTCACGCTTCAGAATATTAAGTGTACAAAGAAAAGGTAGCCCCAGTTTTCAGACAAATCCATGAAGAGCTATGTAAGTTTAAGATCAATACAAAGTAATAAGCATGAAGTATGCACTCAAATACTTACTAATGGATAAATTGATAAAAGATGGTACTTGTTTATTACCAATATGAAAATTTTCTGGCTAACTCCCAAAATTTAATTCAGCTGAGCCCTCTTTTAAACTCAATGTTTAGCAAGTGCAAAAATAAAGTTTATGTAAAAAATGTCAATGATAAAGCAAAATTCTAGAAAAATTAAAAAATCATCAAAATGTTTTAAGTATATATAGCATATATTCTGAAAATATCCTAGAAGAAAAAGATGATATTCAAGAAATACCTCAGTGTAAATAAAATGAGTGATGATTTACAGTAAATATAGATACTACTTACATTGTATATCCAGCATAAAAGAATATCGAATTTCCTTTTCCAAAGCAGGATGCCTCACAACACAAGTAATACGTCTTCCTCGAGCAAATTTGGTTGGAATAAGTTTATATTGGCTTACAATTGTCACAGTCTCATTTGGAAAAGAAGTTATGGTGGATTCCATTTCACCAAGATCACCTTCCCAGTCAATCTGTGCAACTGGTTTTCCAGTGGCTGCTGTACAAATGGCTGCTACGGTTTCATTTCCACCATCAATTAAAGGGTATGGTCCCTTTTTTAAGCTCACAGTAGGTTCAACTGTTTAAATTGAAAAAAAAAAGTTAAACTTGAAAATTAATGTTTATTCAAATGAAACCAAGCACTCCCAATATGTACAGCTTATGATCTACCTAATACCACTCAGATTGGTAGCTTCCAAGGCAGTGCCATTGTAGACTCTGTAGGTGATTTGACATTTTATCAACTTAAAGGAGGCTGGGAATAAATCCCATCAACAAGTCCTGGTTTCAAATGTATCCACACCAGCATTTGCTGACTTTGAAACAGGTACATCTTAATTCAGGTGTTAATTTCCTAATTTCCTAACTAATATATATCAGTTTGTAACTTCATTAGCTTCAAAGTCAACAAAGATCACAACCTCTAAATATAACAGTACAGGAGGGTCTTCAAAAGGCACTTTGTCTAAAGAGTTTATTGCCCTATAGTCAAGTTGGTTCTGGGCCAGCTTATGTAGCCCATCATCAGGATTACAACTAAAGCCTTTCCCGATTAGAGAAGCATGTTCTACTGTGCTCATTTTCTACTGGTCCAGCCTTTAAAAACCCAAGATCAGCTTACATTGTGATATGATGGCAGAGTGGGGTTTTAGGACAGCGTCATTATTAAACTGGAGCTGCATTCTTATTGGAAAAAATTGGTTTCAACATGTAATAAAAAAAAAATCATACTTAAGAATGCAGTCTTTTAAAATCAAAGTGGTTTTGGGGCAGCTAGGTGGCGCAGTGGATACAGCACCAGCCCTGAAGTCAGGAGGACCTGAGTTCAAATTCGGCCTCAGACCCAACACTTGACACTTACTAGCTATGTGACCTTGGACAAGTCACTTAACCCCAATTGCCTAAAAGCCAAAAAAAAAAAAATCAAAGTGGTTTTGCTTTTAAAATACATCAACAGTGACTATACAGATTATTACTGTTCCCTTTGAGTTAGATCCGTAACAGATGTAATATGTATTTTCTGATCCCCTAAATTAAGTGTAGGAATTTCTACTTCTAAATACAGAAGTCAGGTCTTTTAAATTCCCGAATATTATCTCATTTATTTAAATACCCCTGATGAAAGCTATATTAGCTATGGTATCATTAAGTATCTTTTATAAATTCTTTACTATGTGGGATAAACAAGGTATTAGGCACCAAAGCAGCATTTTTCATACTTTGACAAATACCCACTTAAATGTAATAGTTTTCCTCTAAAGTAGATATATGCCCCAAAGCTGCCTCTACTCAAAAGCAGCAATGGGAGGCCTGTGAAGGACTAGTAGTGGGAGCGCAGATAGACGCCATCTGTCAGAAAGATGTTCACAGTACCTAATCTGCTAGGAAACAATTCTAAGACTAAATAAATCGGGATGACCTAAGTGAATGGCAAGGGTAAAGGCTGACCTATACGGTCAATTCTGAATTCCTCCCCTTCCCCGAATGTCATTTTTTTCCCTTTTTCCCTACTACACCTAGAATTTTATACTATCAATCATCTCACAATCCTACTAGAAGTCTAAATTCCTACTCTCTATATAAAAAGCTTTCTCCAAGCAGATGAAGCAGGTCCCTTTTTAAATAACTACTGAAACATAACAAAAAAATCCAACAATTAGAATGAAAGTTTCTAGAAGCTAAAGACTACTATTTCTGATTTTTTTTTAATCCAGCGCTTAGTACATAGTGTCATAAGGTCATAGATTTACCAACGGAAGGACCTTAGATGTCATTTAGTCAAAGTCCTTATAAGGATATGGAGAGCCTCTGCACCAAAATGACATGCCCCATGTTCTACAGGGAGTACCATATACGGACAGGATTTAAAACCCTTTCTTCTGACACCAAATATACGTTCTACTGTACTACTTCAGATACTTTAATTGACATTTGTCAAGTTGACTATGACATGTATAGATAATGCTCTTTATGCCATCTCATGACAGAACCATTTTTATTTGTGTATGCTCATCATATATTAACACAAAAAATTTTGTTTTAGGTTGTAATTTCTTAAGAGCTTAATATGCATATTCATATTTCTTGCATTACAGAACAGCTAGAACAATCCCATAACAATTTATTAATTCTAATAATACCTGTTAGGAAACTAATGGGGTGGAGGAAAATGTTAACAAAAAATTATCAGTTCCATTTTTTGAACATTCTTGACTTTTTTTTAAAGAAAGGAATTACTTATTAAGAAGTACTTTATGAGGCAGCTAGGTGGCACAGTGGATAGAGCACCGGCCCTGTATTCAGGAGGACCTGAGTTCAAATCCGGCCTCAGACACATAACACTTACTAGCTGTATGACCCTGGGCAAGTCACTTAAGCCCACTGCTTAGGCCAAAAAATAAAAAAAAATTAATAAAAATAAAAAAAGTACTTCACTACTTTAAGGATGCTGAACCAAATAAATATTCTACAGTCAGTTCTAATATATAGTTTATCTCACATTGCACTGTTTGTTCCTTTTTCCTTTAGATCACACAAAGTAACAAAACACACACACACACAACACACAATCAGAAAAGGTAACTTAAAATAAATTCTCTTGCTCATTCAATTCAACCAGGCTACCTTCCTCCCAACTAAAGTTTTTGCTTTATACCTTACCATCTCTGTGAAATCTTTACTAACAAAATCTGGCAACCAGAAAGTCTCTGTCCCTTTCACAAAAAGAAAAGCACCTTTTCATCCAACCCACCATTCTTATCTCTAACCTGTCTCCCCTTAAGCTGTCAAGTGTTTTTCTTACAGAAGAGGGCAAAGGGAAAAGTTTTGTCTTCACTAATCTTTTCTTTATAAAAAAGATGCTTTAAAACCTGCTGAGTAGGAATCAGTTTTAAATTTTAATTACAGACAGACTCCTAGCACAAGGACAAACAAGAGTTCTTATATAAGTTCTTTGGCTAAATCTTATCCAAAGCCTATATCCAGCCAAATTCACAATTAATGATTAGTTGAGATAGCAACCAAGGGAAGCTACAAAAATCAAAATGTTTCAATTATATATCATGTTTTCTTGGAACATATCATTTTTATATATTTCATTTAATGGTCACAATTGTTTCAACCAAGTTATTTAGACTATACCCTTGGTTTTTATTACATTTGAATTGTTTCATTTTTAAATTACGCTCAAAATAACTAGGACACCAGTGGTGACTCTGAAGATAAAAGTTCCTCTAGATCCTGTCCTCTCCTTTCATTCCCACTGCTATCAAGCTGAAAGCTCTTTTTTTTTTCCTTTTTGGTGAGGCAATCAGGGTTAAGTGACTTGCCCAGGGTCACAAAGCTAGTAAGTGTCTGAGACTGGATTTGAACTCAGGTCCTCCTGACTCCAAGGCCAGAGCTTTATCCACTGCACCACCTAGCTGCAACATTCTCCCCCATGATAATATATTTACCACAGCATTTATGTAGGTGTATGTATTTATGTAAATTCTCCTACATATGAATGTCACACAATACTACTGTGCAATAAAAAAAAAACAAATATGAGGAAATGAGAAACATACAAAGATCTGTAGGAATGGATAAACTGAAAAAGAAGATAACACATACAATGACTTTAACAATGTAAACTAAAAGATTATTAAAAGTCTTAAGTTAAACCAAAGAAGGTGGTAGGAAACAGATAATAACCAGCTCCTCTGGTAAAGTGGAAGACAAACAGGAAGAATATTGTATACCTACTGAGATAATTGTAATGGATGTTTTTGCTTAATTGTGGTTCTTTGTCAGAACCGTCAAGGTGACTGGCACGGTAGCGTGTGAAACAAATACGAGGTGAAAATAAAAGACATCAGTAAAACTTACTTTCAGGACTCCTTTCAATCAGAGTCATCTCCCACTACCTGTCACTTATAGCATCAGTTTGTTCATCTATTAAAAAAATCATTACATTGAATGACATCTAAGGTTACCTCTAGTTCTAGCATCCTGATTCTACGATTCCTCTGAACTCCCAGCAATCTTTCATAACATATATGTGTACTTCTTGCACTGTTTTTTAACTTTTCACGTATTTGTTTTGTGTCTCAACCAGACTAAGTTCCTTCAAAACTTCTCTGTATTCACTTACTCTATTCAGCACCAAGACACTGGTTTTTTAAAATACATCAGAGACCTAAAAATCTATGTTAAAAAAGCTACCTGAAGCATTCAGAAGTTTCTAAATTTATTTTAGATACACTCACACCAAACATTATAAAAGCTGGAGAGGGAAAACCTATAATTGTACAAAATACAGAAAAATATCTGTTATAAAGGCCATCAGTTCAAAGAAAACCAGCTGAGGTGCCCAACCTACTCTGCTCTAATAAGTGCTTTTTTGATCTATTAAATGCAGTTAAAATATTCTCCAGCTATGTGAGAAATGTGAATTCCCATTTACCAAAGAAACAATTAGAATTTTTATGCATTATATATTTCTTGCTATGACACCTTCAACAATTTCATTGTAGTGAAATACTATACTTGTAAAGATTAGCTTCTGTGTCCTTTGGACAATCTACACTATAACCTGGTTTTCTTAACTCGTAAGATTAGAAAATCTGCGCCTTCCGTATAAATGAAATGATGGCAACGCTTTAAAAAAAAAACCCAACAAAAACCCAGTTGTGTGAGATAAATACTATCATAAGTACTGGATGAGGTGTATTTGCTACATATGAGTATGTAGCAAACACTCCCCCCCTTCTTGGCCTTTGCTCAGGATGTCTCTCAGGCATAAATGGTCTCCCTCTCCCTCTCCCTCTCCCTCTCCCTCTCCCTCTCCCTCTCCCTCTCCTGTGCTATGGATACAGAGACAAACACAGAAAACTAACAATAAATGTGAAAACTAAATTATGAAAAAGGCAGAGTTATAGGCTATTATTTGAAAACTTTTTTTTTTAAAAAAACCATATACTATTAGTTTTTAATTTCTTTTAACTGAATGATTGCCAGTTATGTTACCTAGTTAGCCATGCTAAATTTCTAATCAGTCCGTCAGCCGAACAATTTAACTCTCAAGAAAGCTTTCTTATAACTGGTCACTATCTTATCTTCAAGCATTACAACTGCACTGCCCTAATTAAGCCTGTCTAAATTAATTCATAGATTTGGTAATTAAACACAATTATTTCTAAAACTTCATGGAAATGGAAGTAAAAATTATATTTCCTAACAATTAAGTTCAAGAAATCTATTTAAATCTAAGAATAAATTTTACTTTAAAAACATAAATTTCATATTTCAAATATAATTCAGATAATATATCAGATGTTTATTTAATTATCTGAAAATATCCTGTATTTCACAAATTGCAAGTCACTAATGACAGAATCTACCTTAAATAATTTTGATTACTTATTTAATAATGAGTCAGAGGAATACTAAGGCATTTAACTGGTTGTTGTTTTTTCAGTTTCTGCTTCTACTCTGGGAAAATGCTACGAAGAACTGATTTGCAAACAACCTTTCAAATGAATGTGCAATGCTGAGACACAAAGTCAGGGAAATTCTCAAGAATTTTTGATTGAAAGTTTAAGAAAATTTAAATCATCTTACACCTTTTATTTAAAACTTCAAAAAAGTTCAGAAGTATAGCTCTCCTGAATGCTATCTGAAAACAACTGTTGTGATTTCTGTGAACATTAAACACTAAGATATTTTGGATATTATTCCCTAACTAGCCTAAAATATCTAGAGATTGTTGTCTCAAAAATACCAGGAATTAACCTCATGTGAATTTTCTAAAAAATCAATTAAAAACGGCAATGCTATTAAAATTTGAAAACCTAAAGAGAACAGAAATGATTAACTGTTAACCTGAAGCAACTCAGGTTAAGAATTACACGTCCAGGAAAAACATTTTAAAAAGAAATACGTTAAATGTACATGATTCACATAAAATTACCAATACACACGATGAAGACTTTAGAGTTAGAAGGAACTTCAGTCTTCAGTACCATTCTAAAGTTTCAACCACTTCATCTCTTTGGAAATCTCTTCATTGTACATAATATATTTACAAAGATTATTCATATATATTCAAATATACTTACCCAATACAGCTACAGTTGTAGATGACTGTGCATTTCCTAATGGGAATGTAACCGCTTTGCATATATACTCTCCTGAATCAGAGAAGTCTATGTTGCGGAGAATAATGGTTGCATCATTAAGTGAATGATTTTTAAATAAGACTCTCCCTTGATAGGCCTCTTGAACAGAGAATCCATACTGAGGATGATGAACTGCAACAGTCTGTGAACTTTTGCCTTGAATCTTCTCCCATGAAACTTGTGTTATAGTTTCATTTACTTCAATTATACACTTCAATGAAACATTCTTCCCCCATACTGCTGTGACATATGGTTCCACAATAATTGGTCCAGCTAAGGCACCTAAAAAAAAAAAGAAAATAAAAAAGTATTAGTATAGTTAATTAAAACTCAAGATACCTGTGAAATCACAACTACATTTTCTCCTTCAAAAAAATAAGAGAATTTTCAAATGAAGATTCTGAGGTTCTGGTCCTGAATCCCTTGTCCTGGAGGTATTGCCAGGATGACTGATTAAACTCTTCTACCCATCTCCCCAACCCCTTCCTTCTCTGTCACACTTCTCTCCTCCTCACTCTCCATTGACTTGTTACCAAGACATGTTATAGAAAATAATATACAGGAAAACATTACAAATTATGCTGTATTAAGTGAGCCGCCATAATAACATACTTTCACATCCTGTTTTGTCGTTGTCTCCATATCCCCAGTACCTCATACAGTGCCTAGCAATGCTTGCTGAATTAAATATAACAATCTCGACACAAAAGTGCAATGAAATACCTTCAATAGTATGAGTACCTCAACCTTTAAATAAGCTCAATTCAATCCATTCTCCCCCAAGGCATGGCCACATAGTCATAATATGTCTTTATGACAGTGACACGAAGCACTGGAGGGGCCACAACGTAAGACAAAGCTGTAATAAAGAGGGCAATGATCACATCTCAGTCGTCTTTCTTACCTTCCCAGCACAGACCTTTGCCCAAAGTACCAGATAACAATAAACAATTGCTAAATAAATGAACAATTATTTGGTAGTCACTGGGAAATTAACAAAGGTTCCTGATAGAGGAACATCAGGGCAGACCTGTGAATTAAGAAGTTAATCTGCTGAGAGCGTTTAAGACCGTTTAGAAAAAGGAAAGACTAGAGAAAGGAAAGTGGTAAGGAGGCTACTGCAATAATCTAGGTGAGAGTTAATGAAGGCCTGACCTAGGATGACATCAGGCGGAATGGGAGAGAGAACATAAGTAAAACAGATGAGGTTTTGAAAACTGTTTGGATGTATAACTTGAAGGAAAGAAGGGTCGAAGATGCTTCTGAGGTCAAAACAGATAAAAGGTACAACTGGTGATGCCAGCTAATACAGAAACATGATAAGGAATACGCTTTAAAGAAAGGAGAAGCTCAAGTCTGCATGTTTTCAATTTGAGGTTCGAGTGGAATATTCCAGGTGGAAGTATCCAGGAGGCAGATGAAAACGTGGGTCAGCAGCTTAGGGCTAGTTAATAGATAAATTCTGAAGTCACGTGGATAAAAATGATAGCTGAAACCCTATGAGCGAAAGAAGGAAAGAGCACAAAGAACAGTGGAAAGCAGAAACTTATATGCCAACATTAAAGATAAGTCAATGAAAAGGGGAGAGGGGGAGAGAAATACTGTTTATTTACACAAAGTTAATAGAGCTGTCTGGCCAAGATGCTAACTCGATGGAGGCAGATGTTGGTAAGCTCCCACATGTCTGCTTCAGCAAAAACCTGAAATTAACATCAGACTGAATAATGATCACAAAATCCAATGACACTTCCAGGTCACATGACCAGTGAGATAGCGGAATTAGACATTTTGTCCAGTCCTCATTGACTCTAAAAATCTCCCCACAAACAAGAATCATACACCAACAGAAAAGCACTTACAGCTTTCTACACAGAATATTATTGGGTCATAAGAAATGATGAAAGAAAACTGTGAAAACAACTGAGGGGTATGAGCTGATGGAAAATGAAGTGAGCAGAATAAGAAGAATAAGCAACTTTGAAAGATTTAAGAACTCTGATCAAGGCAATGACCAAGGATATCTCCAGAGGACCTGTGATAAAATATGCTATTCACCTTTTAACAAACAGATAATGGACTCGAGATACCCAAAGAGACATACTTTTTTGGACATGACCACTGTGTGGAATCGCTTGTTTGATTACGCTAAAAACAAGATCTGTTGGTTTTTCCTCTTTCAGTTTTTTAATTGGGGATCTATGATCAATATTATTGATAATAACAAATAGATTAAAGGCCATTGAAATGTTTTATTTAAATTCACATAAGAGAATAGATAGAAGGAAACACAAACAAGCAGAACAACTTAAAAGTTGCTTGTGGAATTTATTATATACTTCTTTTTCAAAAGCAAGAAGTATGAAATGGAGATTCAGAGTTTTATATTTAATACTCTGAATTCTGCTGTATAAATTGAAATGGGTTTTTTTGTGTTTAAATTAATTTTTTTTTTCCAAAAGTACCCCCCTCCTCTTAAAGAGTCTGAAGGGGTCCTTTTTAATACTATGAGTAGCTACTTTCTTACTGCATTATGTATGCAGGTAGGCTGATCTTGCATTCTGAGCTTGATGCATAACTTGATTCAAGATTTAGTGTGATGATCTCCAACCTTTTTAAAAGCTCTACATGCTAGTTAAAAAAAAAAAAAAAAAAAAATATATATATATATATATATATATACACACACACACACACACACACACACACACACACACACACACATATATATCTATTCATTTATAAATTATATGCATGTACTGGCATACTATTATGTACTTCATAACATTTCTTTGGCTTGATAAAAAAAAAAATTAAAACAAGTTACTAGAGCCAGGTGAATATGGTATCACACAAACCAAAGAAGAGAATATCAAGAAGGAATGACCAATGTCAATACACCAATGATCCAAAAGATCTGTTATCTCACCAACTGTAGAGGCTTTCTCAAACAGTTTAGCCATAAGGACAATAGTTACCAAGGATGAACAGATCAAGTAAGGGCTTTTTGAGGGTCAAGGGGACAGGTGTGTTTGTAGGCAACAGGAAAACAGCCAGTAAATAAAGAGAGACTGAAAATAAGAAGGGGAAATCTGCTAGAAAAGACATAATGGAATGGGATCATTTGTACACATAAAGGGGTTTAATCTTGGCAAGAAGGGCTATCTTTTCATATAAGACAAAGGGTGATGGAGACAGTGGCAGAAGACATCTGAGTAATATGAGATAAGGAAAAGGGAGCACTTGGTGAATGGATTCACTTTTTTGTATAAAATATGAGGCAAGAGTTCTTAGCTGAGAGAGTAGAGAGAGGAGCAGTGGGAAGTTTAATGAGGGATAAAAAGGGTTGGAGAAGCCAACAGTTAGAGGTACAGTGAATCAATTAGTATAGTGTAAAAGAATTGCACTGTTGGAGGGAGGGCACACTTGAGATTATATAACATAAATTTATAACATGCCTTTTGCAGTCAGTATGAAGCAAAGGCAGTGGATTGTCAGAATAATCTAAGGCAGGACAATATCAGAAAAAGGACTCAAGAGAAGAGGGTAGCATAAACTCAAGGTGCACAGACCATACTTTTTTGGACATGACCATTGTCTCATTATGCTAAAAACAAGGTCTGTTGTTGTTGGTTGGTTTTCTCTCTTTCAGTTTTTAATTGGGAACCCAGTTAGTATTATTGATAATTAAAGAAAAGAAAAGGTAGCCACTGAACATTTTATTTGTCTCTGTTCACCTTGAGTTTAACTCTATGATATCCTCTTCTCTTCAACCCCATACACCCTTGTATTATTTCTGATCTTGTCCTACCTTTATAGATTATGACACAGTTCACCAAAGGGTCAATGTGGGGAAGGAGAATATAGCTAGTGAAAGTGATGGCCTAAGAAAGAACCAAGGCTTGGAAGGATTAGACATAACAATAAAGATGAAGAACAGGGTTAAAGGTTTTAAGGTTGAGGCCAGCGTGTAATAACAGATTAAGAAAGAATTTCAGAGTTAATGAACATGGGGGTGGACCACTTGTTAGTGAATCCGAGATTAAGAGTATGACCATCTCTACACACACACACACACACACACACACACACACACACACACACACACACACACACACCCCTCTCCTAGTATTAGAACAGGAATTGTTGAGGAAAAGAAAGACTTGTGAGGCGGCACTGACCTCAGTAACTAAGGAGTAGTCACTGAGTCATCCTGGGATGACTCCATGTCAATCATTTCTGCCTATCAAAATAATTTTTGAAAGAAGGATTCAACAGGTCTAGCACCTACCAATTCTTTTTTCCAAAAACTCCAAGATTTCTGGATGTATAAACATGCTGCTTCTGTGCAGTGTATATGCTTTAGGCCTCTCTCATTCATGATTCATAAGCCAAATCTTCGAATATATTGTTTACCATTGTCTCCCTACTACCTTGGCATCTAAGTCACCAAATATCAAAGACTATTGTCGGTTTAACTTGGAGAGTCCAATATGACATAGTAGATCAATAAGAATTTATTTAAAAAGCCCTTAAGAAGCTCACAATCTAATGGGATCTCTTACAATTTCTCTACTTCAGCAAAAGAGGCTGACATATATGCCACAATTATCTTCTTCCTAGTTTTCCTGCAAATCCTGATAAGCACTACAATGAGGTGAACCAATGCTATCCCACCTGAAATGTCATTTGTTTTCCTTTCATATTTTAAAATCAAGACTTTTGTTCACCTATGAACCATCCTTCCATTTCACAGCAACTTCCCTTTGTCCTCTGCTTTTGTTTATAAAGAGAATGTCAAGATTGAGACAATAATCCCCAATAATGTCTTCTTCCTATCAGACAAGGATTTAATGTTAAAGTACCAATAACTTAATGTTTATATATTATCTAAGGACCATTCTTAGCATTCTCTGCCCCCTTCCTCCCACCCCACCCCCAATCTGCCATTATCAATGCAGAAGCAGAAGCTTCCACACAAGACTAATACCTATTCTGTATGTTTTTCTTTATTTCACGGATTGCCACGGTTGAAAAATTAACCAAGTAACTAACCTACCGGTGATGGTTTACTAGGACCATATTTGAAGTTTTTTCTAGGAAAATCTAGTTTGCTCCCTTCCATTCCTCTTCTCCCACCCCATCCCAAAAAAATCTGACACAACCTTCAAGAATTTCAAAGCAAGGGAAGGAATCAAAGTAAGACTCTGTGAATCAGTGTTAAACAATGCATTAATGTTAAGAAGGATGGTGACTAAGAGTAGTCCATTGGATTTAACCATCAA